AAGATATAAATGATTTTTTTTTTTTACTATGTGTTTATCGTATATTATTATTTGCATTGTGTAAAAAAAAAAAATCCGGAGTTGTATGCGTAGTGCAGAGTGATGCTCCGCATAGTGTGGACTATCAACTCTGGATTTTTTTTTTTTTTTAACGAAATGAAAAAAAAAATTATTTTTAAATTAATTAATATCATTTTCATAGACAAGCTCATTGCCATGGAAAATAACTTAATAGATTTAATGATCAATCACAATGGGATAAACAAAAAGTTTCACAAAAGAATGGTAAACAGTGGGTTAACTGAGAGAGAAGGGAAATGGTAAAAAGTCAACAATTGTGGGCATGTGGTAGGAAGAAGTCGAAATCACCTTTAAACCTTATATGAATAGTAGATGATGGATAGGGATGAATTGCGATTAAAAAAAGTTTCAAGAATGAACAGTAATCGGCGGATTCTCTCTTTTAATATAGTGTGTGTGTGTGTGTGTGTGTGTGTGTGTAGCATTTTTGTTCATTCACACCGTGAAGGGAAATTCACTTACAATCAAAGTTAAGATTCTATACATTTACAGTTCTACGGAAATAAGTAATGACTGCTTCATAATCCCGAGATTGGGTAGTGATATAATACACGTGTTTATGTAAAGTTTTAATTGTTGTACTAGATATAAGCGCACAGCTGCAAAAAATTTCTAGCTCTATATTCTTGGTATATTGTTTTTTGCCGTTCGGGTGGGAGACAACCATTGGATTGTTAAATGTGAAATTCCAAGACAAGAGGCTCGGAGAAAGATTCAGTTTTACCATGAAACAAACAATGCGTCATCTCCAATTCAATCAAGTACCATTACAAACCATACTTGGTAGAGCCACCAAGAGCTTGTTACTTCATGGGCTCTTACATGCAATTGCAGTAATTGAGCTGTGATACAGCAAGTGACATAATATTACCATTGAATTAAACATTTAAGAATTAGGGCATTAAGGGCTCGGAGCAGCTAGCTTAAAAAACAATAGATGAATATGCATATGCATATGCGTACATTTACATTTACCTTTGTCATCTGTAGTTACATATTATGTAAATAGTAAATCAAATGCATACTTTGGGGGATCTCATATGCAATTAACCCGTAACTTCGGAGATTATATCAAATGGAAGTTTACTTGGGTATTTGGTGCACAATTAGAAGTAATTGTTTGATGGAACTCTTTCTGTTTGAGCTCAAGTATATGAAGAAAATATACTTTTGTCAAAACACCATATGAACATTTTCTTATTTTTTTCATTGCTCAGAGTACATGGGTATTTTAGAATTTTGATGTCACCCACATCCAGTATTGGGAAGTAATGTTCTTCACGAGATAAACTGGTGATAGAAATTGAGGTATATAACAAGGGTAGGAGTTGCAGCAAATCATTTGTGACCTTTCATGTATAAATATTAAAAAAATGCATTGCAGGGCAATAGTTGAAAACCACCAGAATTCAGGTTAGCTGAAACTATACTGTCTAAAAAGATCCAATTTATGATTTAAAAAGGATGAGCCGCATCCCAGAAGGCCCTCACCTGCCCTGTCCTGCTCTAGGCCGTGGTAAAGGAGGTAAATCGCAGGTTATGCTTCCAAGAGTACAGGGTGGAAGGTTGTTTATACACTTATACTTACTCAATGGCCAAATTCATATTTCAGGATTCGAACCCTTAACGCGACAATCTCAAGCAAAGTTAGAGTTTTTCCACCTTCCCCTTTTACCACTTGGAGATGTGCCTTGGGGGCAGATCCGGTTTATGATTTAGGTTGTATGTTAATTGTTTGTGGATGAAAATAATTATTGGTGTTGGTTAAGTAATGTGTGTCTCCCTCCATTTAATAATTTTCGAAGTTAAATCCCAATTGATATGTGGAGCTCAATGGTTGACAATTGCATGTTTTTTGGTTTTACAGTGTTCGATTGCTGTTTCACCACTGATGTCTAGGAAGAACAAAACTACAAAGGCTACGTGGGAGGAATCATTGGTCAACTGAGGGAACGCGACGCTGATGCCTCAATGATAGTCTTCAATTTTCGAGGGGGGACGACACAATGCCAGATGGGGAATGCTCTGATAGAATATGATATGACCATAATGGAGTATCCTTGGCACTATGAGGATTGTCCTTTGCTTCCAATGGAGGTGATCCACCACTTTCTTCTTAGATCCGGTGAGAGCTGGCTTTCACTTGGTCTGCAAAATGTACTTTCAATGCACTGTGAACGGGTGGTTGGCCAGTTTTGGCTTTCATGTTGGCTGCATTATTGATATATAGGCAGCACTATAGTGGTGAGGCAAGCTCTTCGCGAGCTTTTGCATTTTCTGTCCCCTCTGAACACCATCTCTTCTCAGATAAGGTACTTGCAGTAGACATCTCGGAGAAATGTTGCCTCAGAATGGCCCCCACTATACAGGGCACTCACCCTGGATCGTATCATTATTAGAATGATTCCTGATTTTCATGGAGAGGGTGGGTGCCAACCAATATTTCGCATCAATGGACAGGACCCTTTTCTTGTCGCTGATCGAGCTCCTAAGCTTCTATTCTCAACTCCATGAAAGAGTAAAGGTGTTCGACATTACAGGCGAGCTTCTATGTTCTATAATACTTACATGCAAGTGAGTGCCAAGATATTCACTATTCATGAAAAGCTTCAAGAAATTATTTTTGTTTCTGCTGCTGAGACGTTCTTAATTTTGTGGTTACCTTCAGAAATATATGCTTCTGTTCTGTGTTGTTGGGACATACCTGCTTCTCAAAGCTTCCATTAGAGTTTGTTTGAATTGTGAAAATGATTTGGATGACTACTACAGCCTAAAATTTACTTGAGTTTATCATGTAAAGTCAATAGTACGGCTGGAGGAGATCTAGAGTGAGAATGTAGAAGGCTGAAGCTACCAGTTATCTACAAATTTATCATTTTCAAGTTCTTTCTCAATGTAGGAATAGGATATTCTGATATATGCTCTAATAGTTTAAATGAGTTGGCACATGACTCATCCTAGTGTGCGTGGATGGAGTTACATAATAATGGCCAGTGACACTGATGCCTGGTTTTTCTCCCACCCTCCCCTTGCCCCTATTCCATTCTCTTCTTGTTGCCCCTCCCCCACCTCTCATCGCCAACTTCTACTCACCCCCATTCTCTTCTTGTTGCCCGTCCCCCATCTCTCATCGCCAACTTCTAGCATGACTTTCCAACTTTTGGCATCTCCTAACCCCACCCTTGTCCCTTTTCCTCCCCTCCTTTTCCCCCCTGTGCAGGTCCTGTCCCATCTCCCCGACCAGAAACAAAGAGAGAACAAGAAATGGATGACAATTTTTTTTGATTATCTTTATTATTAAAAATAAGAGCATAATTGTCTCTTCGACAAAATTCCTTGCAAAACACGATATAATTTACCAAGTTAATTAGGGACTCAAATCCTGGAAAATGCCAAGAAAAAATTCAATTGGGCCCAAATTGCTCATAGAAGTATAGGATGTGGACGACATTTGCAGTTGCTTATATTTTCTGTCTCACTGTTTATATTTTCTTCAAAGCCTGATTTTTGTACATGTTCAAAACCTTTGCTCGTTCTGGTGCCATGTTGAATTGCCTCATCTGAACACCTAAGATTTTAGAGAGGGTAAGAAATCTTCTCTATATAATAATATATTTCAAAGAAAAATATTATGATTTGCAAATATTAACAAAATATTGTGAATGAGCATCACTTTTAGTAACAATTCCATTCTGTGTACGATATTTATTGAAATTTCTGGCGCATTCCATAGCATATGAAACTTGTATGCTCACATTAGGGGGCATCTGTCATGCAATAAAAACAGATTTTTGAAGTACCAGGCTTCATTGCTCTCAATCCTTGATAGGAAAATGTGATGCAGTTTGTGATTCATGAGACAGTTGACGCTCTGACATGGACTTCTTTGCTGCAGATTGACGACAGAGCTATCGAGTTTTAAATATCTTTCTTGAAAAGTAAGATGTACTGGAATTGCTAAGTACTAAAACCATGAAAAAGTGACTCTCATGTCAATTTTGACTTAATATTCGGACTTGACGACAAAGCTACAGATTTTTTAATGTCTTCAAACACTTTATTCAGCACATAAGCCCAACTTACTAATTATTTATCATAATGGTTTTTTTTTTTTACATTAAAAGACAAAAATACCTTCATTTCAAAATTAAAAGGCGGGGTTTCTCTCCCAAGATCCCCAGACCACTCAAATCACCCGGACCTCGGGATCCGATCCCCCCCCCCCCCCCCCCCNNNNCACCCGGACCTCGGGATCCGATCCCCCACCCACCCCCACCCCCACCCCCACCCCCACCCCAAAACCCGTTAACAAATAATAGATTTGGTATGATTTCTTCACAAATTTGAATTTCTTCAACACAATAAAAGAATTTTTTTATTTAAATCTTTTAATACTAAAGCTAAAAACATATTATCCATCAATATTACAAGCAACAAATTTGGAATTTAACCAAATAAAATGAAGAAACCTTGAATATGGAGATAGAGATGGTGATGGTGATGGTGATGATTGGAAATACTTGAAGAATGGCGATGGAGATGGAGAAGATGAAGAAACATTAAAGAATATGAAATGGTAGGAGAAATTTTCAAATTTATAACATTTTTCAAATTCTCAAGGTTTAAAATGGAGGTGAAATGAGTTTTGTACTTTCTTTAAGTTTTTTGCTTAAATCTAGTCAAAGGTCATTGTGAAAAAGTAGTCAGGTCAACCGATCATCTACCACAATTTCCTCTTTAGGGAAGCAAGGTGGTTCTTTTGCTTAAATCTAGTCAAAGGTCATTAGAAAAAAGTAGTCGGATCAACCGACCATCTACCACCATTTCCTCTTTAGGGAAGCAGGCGGAGAACCACCACCTTATAAGTGAAAGTGGGGCAACAATATCATCAAGGAAAACACCTATTCCTCCCATAGAACATTCTTTTTCCATAAGGCAATCAATCTTTTTCCTCCCATAGAACACTTCCCCGTAGAAAAAGATTTACAAAATTTCATTTCTGAAGATAAGAGAAAAGGATTATTTTATATATTATTACACTTGTGTCGGTTGGAAACTAAGATCAATTCTTTTATTTGTTTATATAATTCTTGTTCAAAGAATTTGTTTGATATTCAGAAAAATATAAAGATGGGAAAAATAACAATAATAAAAAATTACGAGAACAATAAAAATACCATTCTGTCTAGGTAGCAAACAATAAAAATCTAATTCATATTTTAATTAAGACAATACTAAATCAAAAATCTTAAAAATCTCCACTTTGTCTTTGAATTATCTAAGAATCCAAATATGAATTCTTTCATATCTCCTCAAAGTCGAATAATTGTGCATCTATCTCGTTCCCGCCTCTTTCATCATCTTGGTCATGCAACTTTAGAAATTTCGATGAAACTTTTCTTTTATCACAATTCTCAAAACATAAATTATCATACTCCACCGTAAAGAGTATACACAGTTAGTACCAACAAATTATAAGAATTTCAAACGGGCTCATGTCGATTGGGGATTTTCGAGCTTAGTGAAATCTTCCCCACCCCTGAAATTGTTGGGAAAGCTGATATCATCAATGTTTGTATGAAAATTATTCCTTGATGCAGTATTATGGCTTATGTTTGTTTGGTGAGTTGATTTTTTGTGCTCTAGAATGTTGAAAATGTAGCTGTTCTATTGGGCCCTTCCTCTAGATACAAACTTTTGATGACTAAAATCGACGTCGTAATTATAGATCAACTTAATTTAAAAGAGTAATTTCTGAAATATTGCCCAAAAAAAAAGGTAACTGAGAGAAATTTTCATTTCGAAGTATTTTAGGTATTGTATTACAAAGAATTGCTGATCACAACCTTCTATAGGAGACTATTGTCCGTCAAGCTGTAGTGCATGGTCTCAATTCGTGGGTCACCGTCCTGTTTGAAGAGATTTAATATGATGTTGAGTTCTTCAAGCAGACCATAATTTCACCTATGATGCAGCATGTGGCTTAGGTCATGATTACGTACTGTTAGGCAATCATAACTCTCTTTTGATTGATGGGAGGCATAGTGCTAACATCAGAGTTGATATTTGTCCTCTTTGTAGTAATCGTTGGAAGGTGTTGACGTCACTAAAAAATACATTTTTAGAGGAGGTAATAATGATATTTACTGATGACATAAGACTCATGGACGAGCTCAATGGATAAGCTTTTAGTTTGACCTATTGTTTTGACTTGGGGCGTTTTACCATTAAACTCATTTTGATCCTTTTTGGAGTAGACTCGAGGTTCTTATGAGTTCGGACACCAACAAATCACTAAAAAAATGTCTATAATTATCACTTTTATTGACAATTTTCATGCAAAATAAAGTCAAACGAATGGTATTCAGTACGGTAATTATTATTATTATTATTATTATTATTATTATTATTATTATTAGTTGGCAATTGGAATAAATTCTAGACTCAATGGTAAAAAAATTATCACTTTAATGGATAATTTTCATAAAAAGCAAAGCCAAACAGACACCAAACTTTCAACATTTTTTAGGTGAAAAATTATACCAATTAAACACAATTAATTACAATTTTCAGTAAAATAAATTCTAGACAATTCATTTTTTTTTTTCCACTCAAATTCTCCATTCGCAATCAAACGGATCCTAATTGAAGTACATTTTCCAAAACAACGTCATAAACTTCTTTCTTTCTTTCTGTAAAAAGCTCGCCTAAAAATACAATCAAAGCCCACACACACACACACACAAGGGGGACTAAACTGTCAAAATTTCAACGGAAAACTTGATATGTTGACTTTACAAATAATATCCAATTTTAAGGCAAAATAGGTCTCAGCCTGGATTAGCTCTAAACTTTTCAACAATATTGCTCACATTTGACCCTCAAATTTTTAATTATTTGCATTTGTTTGGTTTCATACTTCAAGGTGTCAAAAAAAAAAAAAAAAAGGTTTCACACTTCAATTATCAGTTCTTTTTTTTATTAATTTCACTAATAGAAATTTTTTTAAAAAAAGTATATTGTTAAGATTATCAATCGATACCAACAGGGCGGACCTAGGAAAGAAGTTTAGTGGGGGCAAAACCAAAAAATCTTGAAAAAAAATCTGAAAACCTAGAAAAACTTGTACAAAAAAAATTTTAAAAATCGGGAAATTTGAAGAAGAATCGGGAAATCTAAAAATTGAGTGTGGGCAGCGACCACCACTGGGCCTCATGTAGGTCCACCCCTGGATACTAACATGTGTATATAATATAGGTGGTCCTGCCAATTGGTGTTACACCGCCTCTATAGCGATATGGTCTTGTAAGTTTTATTAGTTACAATGTCTTAGCCCCGGTCATGGTTTGGTAGGTCTAGCAGCTCTAGGTTTAGAGCTAGTAATTTACAAGATGATGATGAAATAGATAATAATCAAGATGTATTATGAACTCTTAATAACCAAGAATTGCAAAAGAGCTCAAATTGAACAAAGATTACAAAATTGAACAACTCCTAAGGTAGGTAAGAGGATTATCTACGAAATAGGAAGATTTGACTCTACTCAAGTTATGTTGTCAAGACATTTGAACAAACATTATCTGTCAAGAATAATTTAACTCGAATAAGATTACTTTCAAATAATGCTAATCAAGATCATAGTTATCAGAGTTCTCTGACAGTATACAATCATCCATACGTTACTAAAATTATTCAAGAGAGAAACGCGTAAAAAAAATTTCCACCAT